ATTTTCCTTTATGACTAGATCCTTAGATTAAGATTCTGCACCCACTGCACTGGTTGGAAATATACATATGTAGATACGTTACTGGTTATCCATTAAAAGTACATTAGCAAAAGAATCACTCTGGATGGTTTATTCTTTGAGCCCAGTTGGAGAGATCACATTTTCTCCCTCTAAGTTTTGGGAGCTTTGGGGGTTTAGAGAATATTGTAATTTAAAAACATAATGTTCCTGACCTATACTTTCTGCGTCCACATTATTTGAGAGGCACAGCCCACACAGTTGAATAGCCTTGGGGAGATGACTACTTCAGGCGAGAGCAAAGAGAACTTCAAGTCCCTTGGCTTGGGGCTCAATAGGGCTCACTGATTTCATTATCCACAGTTGAATCTGTGTGTTTATGAGAGTGGAAGAGACTGAGAGGGAGGGAGCAAGGGGGACAAAAATGTCCTGTAATTTACAACCAATACTTTTTAAAAAAAACATATGCACGCTATTCATTTTAGATTTCAACATTTCATCTTGGGGGTGAAATGGTTTTCAATATGAACAGGACTTTCAATATTTCATTGTTTATAGATTTATATCATTAGTATTTAGCCTCATTTTCCTTTTACCCCTTTTGTGTTGTCTTTTCTCATGTTTGCAACTTTGTAAACTGTTCCTATTTTGTAACAGAATTTACCTCCTTCCAAATAAATGAGTGAAAGCTTTATTTGATGCATTTTCTGATGGTGAGAATGATGCTGTTGACTGTAAAAGCCCTACCACTAATGCTGAATCCTTAACATGTCGTTAAGTGTTAGACTTCAGTGAGCACACCAACTTCAGACACAAAAAAGCCCCCAGAAATTGTGTGACTATGAGAGAATGGCTGCTTAATGGTGACAGAGTGACACCATTATTTGACACTAGGACTTCTGATTCCAGGTCTCCGAGTCCATCTGTTCATCTGGGTTTTTAGTGGAATCATACAGAATTAGTGACTTAATACGGATCTTACTTTGATATTGCTTTTCTTTCTTTCCAGTTGATTTTTATGCAACATGTTCTCTCTAACATGTCAAGAGTCAAAGTCAACCCAAAAACTCATCTTTGTTGTCATCAATGCACACCTCCAGGTGGCAGGAAAGAGTCCTTTTTCTTCTGAGTCCAACTGTCCTGTCTTCAGCTGGAATTCTGAGGCAGCAGACTAGACAGTTTACACATCTGATATTTTACTTATGGAGTTATTAACCTTTTCTTCTTCCCCTGGGCTTGTTCAAGTCTCATCATATTCGTAATTGTTATTCCAGAATCATTGGACTATGGAAAGAAAGAATAAAAATACACACACAGAATCTTTGAAGAATTCTGTATTAAGTTTCTGCATGTTTTTCCCTTTAAGCTTTATTTTTCTAAATTCCAAGTCTTAAAGATTGAGCTATCCACTTTTTTTTATAGACCTGAAGCATTTACCACAGTTTAGAATGTACATGAAAGAGTATAATTTCTTACCCCTTGTGAAGAGTTGTATTGAATGTTTACCAAATTTATTAATAAATCTTTTAAGTACTTGAATTATGCAAATTGTATTGTAGATTGTAGAGTTTAGATAGACAAAAAAGGCTTTCTTTACCCCTAATATAAATTTTCAAATCTAGTTAATCATTAATCATTTCATTTTTGTATCTTTACAAACTGTCCCTTGACGTCCCTTGAGGTTTTGAAAACACTGAGTAAATTTAAGTGATTAAATGATCTTTATATTAGCTTGTTTTTTATGATTTAATTTAATTCATCCAGAATGATTTACCATTTGTTAAAAACCAAACAAATAATCAAATTCTGTAGCTACCTTGGGATTTTCAAACTCATTTAATCTTTTTTTTTTAACAACAATTTTACATTTGAATTAGAATCTGTTACACCAAATCTCAGATTTTGACTGTGCTGCCTGAATCCATTCCATGCTTTTAGCCTGTCTCAAGCAAGCGAGATCTAGGGCCTCCATGTAGTGATGTTCACCTGAGCATCAAATCTTGCTCAGTAAACTGCTGATGTGAGTATAAAGCACAGACGAGGAAGATCTGCACTGACCCTGCAGTCTTTTCAGAAAGATCAAAATAGCAGTATCCGTATCCATGACAGTGACTTTAGGTTTCTGCATATTGGTTACATGTTTAATTAACTTTTACAGCACGTTGATCTCTCATTGGACTGTCTCAGGTTGGCCTCCTGGGAAATGTCGCTTTTTTCATCCTTTGCCTCCCCACTAAAATTTTGAACATATACAAAATAGCAAAGTAAAATTTTTTTCTCAACTATTTTTAGTGTTTTTCCTAAATGATCACCTGTAAATATTAGAAGACAGTTTGGATTACATTTCTGGCAAGACACAAGACAGACCACACGAGAAATAAAAGTGCTACTGTCACAGAAAATAGGAAGTGCACTGTTTGGCAGTATGGAAGGGAGGGATTGTGTTCCTCTGGCTCACAGCAATTGTCACGTGCCACTAGGCTTACTGTAAGCTATCCCTTGATGAATTCTTTGCGGACAATGAGCTACAGACTCTGAGGTGTCTTCTTGCTTTTATAGAGCAAAGCAGGACTTTGGCGCTTCAATGGAAGTGGCAGAGTGCATAATGGGGTGTAGGTAAGGTTACCGAGCAACAGCATCTCACTTTCAGGAAAATAGTGGGAGAGATTGTGTCTGGAGAAGAAAGACATTTTAGAGGCAACCATTTTAAGATTTCAGTGAGTTCTTTACAGGCACGAATCATGTGCACTAATGTATGATTACTTGAAGTTTATTTCTGAAGCTAGCTGGCCTAAGGAAATCCTCACCAACTACAGAGAGATGTTTTATTTGATGAGAAGTGAAAATAATGTTAGAAAATTTAAACAAAGCTGTTTTAGGAGTATTTACACAAGGCTACTGGAAAACCTTAGAATTTGAAGGAATAGTGTCATTATTAGCTCAGTGAGAATTAAACAATGCTAATATTTTTATTCCTATTCTGACAATTTAGTAACGTGATAAGGTGTATTAATAACAGTTCATATTGGACTGCTTCACCCTAGATATTACATGCATAATATGTTCAAAGAAAGTTATGCTTTTCCCCCAAATTACTCAAACAACAATTGCATTAGCAATGAAATTGTGCTCTTCGCTTGTAGGCTTATATCGTGTTTTAGATATTTACCCAATTTCCCAACCATGTCTTCTCATGTTTGGAGTTGGTCACAGCTTAGATTTTTTAGTTTTTAAAGAGAATACAAAATAGTATTAAAACAGAAAAAAATTTAGAGGCATACAGAATTTGACTTAAAAATGTAATGTGTATTTCAGAGTATTGTTGTAGTGCGCAGTGTCATCTTCCAGGGAGTTACTCATAGGACCCGATAGATGCATGCAAAACTGGAAGATGAAAGAATAAAAAAGAAATGTATAAGAAATTAATAAGAGAAAAAGTACAAGAAATCGGAAAAAGGAGACAAAGCAAATTAAGCCCCATCTGCTCCTTTCCATAGACCAGCACAAATGCACAGTACAGTTGTCCAACCATCCTGCTTACACACATAGACAGATCTCTTTCCCCCACTCCCTCTCCTGTCCCTCTCCTCATCTCAGTGACTCTTCCCTTTTGAACACACTCTTAAGTGAAATAAATCTGACCCGCATGTGCAAACATTGTTTACTCTCCTTTGCCTGAGAACCAGAAAGGGAATGAACTTATTAAAAGAATTTTAGATTTTTCTAAATGCTATTTTTTTATTTTTCAAAAGTAATCTTTAAGATCAATTAAGCTATTATAAGTGAGTTAGAGTTGAGATTTATTAGAAGGGAGTACTATTCCCAGCACCACCATAAAATGTGTAAATAGTGAAACAGATCAAAACCTCAGGGTACCATATAGTCTTACTTCGTCTCTGTTTCAATTTTTATTGCCATTCATTCAAAGGCATTTGATTATTTAAGATACATTCTCTAGCTATAGTCAATGTGGAATCTTTCCTGTTGTTTAACAGCATCACTGTATAATTTTAGCTACTTCAGTGCTGCTTCTGCTGTTCAGAGCCAACTACATATTCAAACATCTTTTCTATGCCAGGGACTTGGGCTGGTCATAAGGTGACCAGCTAGTGAAACAACTAATTTTGTTATAGGTGTAAAAAATTTAAGTTCTGTTACCTAAAAAATGCTAAGCTCAATATGTAAAACTGAAAATGTTGAAAGACACAAAGCAGATTTGATAGTAGAGAACAAAACAAAAACACAAAATAAAACAACACATATAGTGTGACAATACTTGTTGGAAGTTATGTGTAATTTTTGGTTATTAGTATGGATTCTTAATTACTCTATTTTGTCAAAATGTGTCAGCATGGGCAGAATAGTGGTCTTAAAGTAAGGAGACCAAGATACAAGTTCAACTCTGATGAAAGTCCAGCTGCACAATTTTGGTAGAGGTGGGCTTCTTCTCCAGCTCTGCTTTCTGTGACTATCAAAGAGAACTATGCCATTTCCTCCAAACACATTCCTTCCCCATCTCTTGGTGAATCCTTTAGTCTTGGGGGCACCACTGTTTGGCCACCTCTGAAAAGCCAAAGTGTCGTATTTAATCTTTGAGGCAATAACCATAACAGTAAAGAGACCCTAAACTTACTACAAGTTATGCCATTACTGCAGAAGATAATATCTAGCCCTAAAATGATGGGTAAATTGATGGTTTCAAGACTGAACCCAAACAGAAAATTAAAATGGAGACTAAAATCGTAATTATCTCCTTTTTGTTGTGTTTGAATAAATGCAACTTCTTGCCTTAGCAGCTGGTCTTTTCCAAATGTACTGTTCAACAGGAGCTAAATGTTTACTGTTTGACTTTCTATTGACCTTTGCTTATTGCCTCTTCCTACCAAGTGCTTGGCAAAAGCAAGATGCTCTGTGTGAATAAAGTAAATAGTGTTTAATAATTAATGACCTGAACTTTTGTAAAAATGCTCATGGACCCAAATCAGGACTGTCATGGTGGCAAGATTTTAACCAGAGAAGTCGGTATGAAAAGCAACTGTGTTTTGTTTCCAAAACAGGTATTACAAGTGGATAAATAATGTGCAGTGCTCTGAGCCCCAAGGTACGCGGTGGACCTGGCCTGTCTGATATGCATCAGTATAGCCAGTGGCTGGCCAGCAGACATGAAGCTAATTTGCTGCCGATGAAAGAAGATCTGGCCTTGTGGTTAACCAACCTATTAGGTAAGGTTATAAGATACATTTTGGGAGCAGAGATAACAGCATTTGTGGGTTTTTTCCCCCTCTGCCAGTGTCCTTCACCAAAGCATGTGATAGCACCTTGGAAAGAAAGACTTTCATTATTTGTTTTTTGTTTTTTTTTCATCTGGGAAACCTGAAGAATGTGGAAAATTGAAGTGAATTTCCCCGATGTCCTTCACATTCTCTGTGCTTCATAAATCCAAGCTCATGCCCCGAAGTGTGAGGCTGCGTGATCAAATCATTGCTTTTCCTTTATGTGCTGGTCTGATTTATTTTTGTCTTTTATGCAACTGACCAATATAACCTATTCTTTTGACATTATTCATGGGGCAGAGTCTGAAAAGTAGCTTCTAAAGCTGGATTTCTTTGCCCTACTTTTATAGCACACCTAGTAAAACTGCTGAGTACCCAAACTGAGGAACAAAAACATCTGTCGTTTGTCAAAAGAGGCTGACTAGACTCATATAGCCTTAAATTAACTTTTACTCTTTGATTTATTTTTGTTTTTATGTACTTACCTGAAAGTATTGTTTTTGAGAAAAATGGTGTCTCCTGCTAAATCTGGCTGTCTTTTTGCACCTGGCATTTCTACAGGATAAAATGTCAGCCATGTGCAAAATAGATTTATACATTTAAAGGATTGTTATGCATATATGTGTGCATCAACACTATTTCAATTCCTTGATTTCTTTCAAAGAGTGAATAATTGATTTATTTTATAAGTGAATAAAATTGGTTTACAATGTGAGGAAAGGACTGTTGTGGGGTTAATAAAATATGTTATGTGAATGTTGACTGAAGAAACCGAATGGTACTTCACATTTACAGAGGAGATTTCCGGAACATTGTTTTATTATTCAAAGAATCTTCCAACGTTAGTGTTTCTCTCTTTATTTTCTAGCTGATGAAATGAGCAGCAGGGTGAGAGGCACCATATCCATCTGAAACTTTGGCAAAGCTAAGCAAAGTTTAAGCACCTTTTAGTCAGATTTTCCTGCTCACAGTCTGTGAGATTTTATAAAGTTTTTTTTTATTATTGGCTTCTATTTTTACTCTTTATTCTTGAGTTACATGGTCAGTTTTTTCTACGTGTACCCCACTTGGGCAGATTTTTGTAATTTACCCAGGGAATAAAATGTGAGTATGCAAACTGTATTTTTCACAAATGTCTTCTGCCAAAGGGTACTGAGTCAGAAAGGAGCCCCACCAGGATTTCTTTACCCTGCTGTGTAGCTGTGTCTACCAGGAGGAAAGGGTTCTCTCTTGTTAGCAAATTTTTCATGCAAACAAAGAGTTTTTTATCTCCTACAAATAGAAAAAGTTATTCTAGCTTAATTGTGCATTTTCTCTTTCTTTTGTCTTTTCTGGGTACCCCTAATGATTGTTATGTTAGCAATTTTTTTAATATTCAGCCTATTAAAATAGGCAGGTGCTTATGTCACTGAGCTATATCCCAGGCCCCCTTTATTTCTACTTTTTCCCCCAACCTTCTCCATTGTCCTTATTCCCAGATCCTAGAGGGATCAAAGATATAGATATGAAAAACAGGAATCTTCAGGAAATCAAGCTAGGTAGTAAATGATTGAAATATGTAGAGTATTTGGAACAATCTCTAACATGTAGGAAACACTAAGTATTTGCTACTTCATTTGCATAGGTCAGTTAAACTGTTATTCAAATATTTGAGTATGTAAGAGCACAAGTTACTCATTGAAAAAAATTGACTATGGAATAAGAATATGCAATTCAAATCTTCCAACCTTTACTGTGTAATTCTGGGAAAGTGTCTTATTGAACTATCCTCAGATTTCTAATCTGTAAAATTAGTACCACAGCAAGTTTAAAGATTTGTTGGTGGCTTAAAATGATGTCATCAGCTTTAGAGCATGGTCTGGCACAGAACAACCTT